ACAGAAACACTAGCTGACTGATAAAGGCTGATCAGGTTGTCTGATGCTGACTGCTGTTAGTTATTAGTTTAATAATGATTTAACGATGTGAGTATTGATTACTGGCGCTGGCTGATCAGGATCAGTACGGTTCCCCTTGGTGTGTGTTTTAAACTCCTAATTAAACATGATGTGCTTGTTATGAATGCTGTTATGAACTAGTTATAAAAGATCTTGTAGAGTGTGACCTGCTGCTGCTGATCGGTCACAGTATCCAGATTACAGACTGAAAGTTGTGTAATGTGAACTGTACAAAGCTCTGGGACTCTGGGACTCTGTACTGTGTCTGAGGCTTAATGAGCTCCTCTCTTCCTCTTCAGGACATCACGCCGGTCTGCACCCCGTCTCTCCTGGAGAGGAGGAAGTCCATGGTTGTCAACGACGACGACGCAGATGATGAGATCGTTGTCAGGATGCCCGCTGTGGAGAAAGACGAGGAGTGCTCCTCAGAGGAGGAGGAAGAGGAGGAGGAAGGTGACAAGGAGGAGGAGGACGATGAGGACTCAGAGAGCGAGGACGCCTCTGAAGAGGAGGCGGAGTGAAAGTCCTCGCTGTGTGATTGCGGACTGTCAGAGTACAGATGCAAACGTCGGGGTCGCGTGCGGTCTTGGATTTGCGTCGAGTCGCGGGCCAGCTTTGAACTGTGTACAGAACTCAGTGTGTCCGTCTGTGTGTGCGAATCACGTTACGTTGGAAAAAGAAGCTCTTACGAAAAAGACTTGCGGGCGCCATCGATGGTGCTCGCAACATCGCCACAAAGAGCCCGGTTTACGGGCAGCAACTTGTTCGACATTAATGTGCATTTGAGTCTTTGGAGCGGGCGTTTTTATTTGCCATGAAGGCTTTAAAGTTGATACAGAAACAGACTCTTTCTTTGTCTCACGGCCACACAGCTAAAAGCGTGGTTGAATTTGTATAATGTAAACTATGATCTATACAAAATAAATGATGTGAGAAGCTACTCATGAGCTGTCCTTTTAATACACAATATACACAGATAGTAAAAGAGTATAATCAATAAGAAATACGCAGAATATCCTACAAGATAAAATATGATAAACTATAAAATAGAAATATAAGAGGAGGTAAAGAAACTATAAAGCAGAGAGTTTTCTTTTAAAGGTGTTTATAATGTAATACAATAAATACCAAATGGAATAAATGATTTAATTTCAGGGTTGAGATGTTGTGCTTGCTCCTTGTAGATAAACATTTTGTTAATGTTAATAAAACCTGTGCTTTTCATACTATAAATCAGTGGTTCTCAATCTGGGGTTCGGGGACCCTTGGGAGTCTTTTAGGGGGTCCAAATAGGGAATATTTTGAAGGAAAAGACTAGAACAGCGCTCCCATTACCTTTTAATGTTGCCACGTGGTCGTGACCACACACACACATTGATCACAGCCTACAGAGTCACAGCTCAGATTAATACAAATACTAAATGAACCAAATTAAATCTCCTCTTTCAAACCTTTGAGGATGAGGGTGTCGAGGAAGTGTGTCCAATACGTCTCCTGCTGGAGGTTTCTGTCCCTATTCCCGACTCCTTGTGACACCTTCACTGTCTCAACGTAAATAACATCATAACCAAATCTGTTCGTGCTGTGTAAACAGTGTGTATGCTGTGTGCTGATTTAATCACATTTATCAATATTTGCTTCCTAAAAGAAGATATCTGAGTTATTAATACATCGTTTTCCTTCCAAGTCTTCAGACATTTTTCCAAATCCGTCTTTCGTGGCCACGACAGATCATTCAATTCATGTTTTTTAACATGTTATTTTTCAATTTTTATCTAAATGAATGTGTTTTATTTGTGGTAGACGGACACTTTTTAGGGGTTTATAATCTGTACATCGTAGTTTAACGTGTTTTGTTTCTTGTTGTTTTTGCTGAATATATGTCGACCATATTTCTGTACATCGAGTGCAACGTATAAAAAAACATACCTGGTCAATAAAAGTGATTCTGACTTTGTTTTGTTTAATCTCTCTCTCTCTGTGTGCAACAGTTTCAGTACAATAGAAATACTCTGGTTGAGTGGAAATCAATCAATCAGACTTTATTTGTATTAATTAATTAATATTAATTAATAAAACAGATAAATAATAAAAACATTGATTATGTTTGATGCTCAAACTGAAGAAACCACATTATTATCTGGATATATACATTTATTTTATTATCTTTTATTTATCTTTTGTTATTTCATGAATACAATCTTTAATTTTGATGTTATTATCTTTGTATAATTATGAATACGTCTCCTTAATAATAATAACAGATCTACTATAATAATAATATTAATGATAATAATAGATAAAGTAACAAAACAGATTTAAATGTTTAAAAAAATGATAAAACATAAATAAGAATAGATCTATTTGAATATATTTAATAATAATAATAGTAATAATAATAATAATAATAATAATAATAATAGATAAACAGATAAACAAATAAACAAATAGAAAAAGATAAAACAGACAATAAATAATAATAATAATAATATAAAAAATAAATAAGAAAATAAAAATCAATTAAACTGATCAGAAACCAGCCGCGCAGACTCAGTGTGTCCACCAGGGGTCGCCAGATGTTGACTTATAAACACACACACACACACACACAGACACACACACACACACACAGACACACACACACACAAGACACACA